CAGTATGAGGGGGGGGGGGGAGCAACCATTTATGTATATGCACAGTTTTCACCAGGTCAAAATGACACCTTACATTTACTGGTCTTTCCAAGGGACACACAGTGTAAGTGCACCTATAAGCTGACTGTATGATATAGTAGAAGCGTCTGTTATACTTTATATTATCTCTCATTAAGAGCGTAAACAGTCTGTAATTAAGCTGGCTCTAAAAAAAAAAAAAAACATATACACAGATAATCAGTATAATTAAAAGCGTGTAGGCCTATGTATAATTAAAAAGTGAACTAAAGTGTGTGTTATACATATAACATGAAACTCTGAATGCAGCCTTGTAATAAACATACTACATGATATTCACAAGCCTAAAACAATACCTACAAAGCAATATAATGTGTATAAAAGGTCATATTTAAATACACTTAAAGGTCGGGCCTAAAACTACAACCATGTACAACAGTGTAAAGTTTAATAGAGATATATTTGTATGTAATTTTCCCAGGCGGATGTATAAAATATAAATCTCTCATTAAAGGTTTTTATTACATTTCTACGGTTACAGTCATTGGGTTCCAACATGTCAGTGTCAGATTGAAGGGGCGCTGGTTGTTGGATGTTTATGTAAAATAAGAGTATTGTGTAGAGTGTTAGTAATTAATATTAATATTAATAATAAGGCATTAAAAGTTTGTTTTGTTTTTTTTAAAAAGGGACAACTCCCTCCACTTCCCTGCTGAAGCTGAAGGCGCACAGTGCTGTGACAACGAGCACCTTTAATTAGCGCGACGAGCCTGTTGGGCCACTGGCGTCCTGAATCAATAGCAGGGAAAGCAGCAAAGTGCTCCTAGGGCCTGAACGCATCACACACAGACACACACAGACACACACACACACACACGCTGCTGCCAACATGGTTTTTGAAGACCCATGAAAAAGGCAGAGCTGTTGGAGAATAGGCGCACCAAAACCCATTAAGAGATTTCAAACTCTTTTTGTGTCGCCTTTGGTTTTTAAAAAAAAAATATATCTCTCACTAGATTTGGGATATTTTTTTCTCTTGTTGTTGTTTTTTGCGGGATCCGCATTAAACTGCGCAGGTCTGCGGGTGCATGTGAACCCCGAGTGCTGCTCTCTGTGGTGAAGGTCCTGTGCGTTGTGCGGCGGAGCAGGCTTATCTTTAGCACGTCATGTGACTTTGCATTGGATTTTATAGCAGAGGAGCTACAGGAACTGCATGCATAATGAGCACGTGCATAAAGGTGAGGCAATATCAGGCCAAAGCAGAGCCTCACTGCACGCGGGCTTTATTTTGAAAAGGCCTATTATTCTGTCCTGTTCCTGCAGATATTTGACTTTAAACACAGTTAAGTGAGCAGCCTCCTGTATGTACATTAACCTCATTAATAGTCTTCATTTCCTTTAAGCAGACAGACATTTTAAAACACCGCACGTGCTCACAAACGCCTTCAGCACGCTCGTGAATAAATGACAAAATCGAAAGTTTTTGGAGGGGCTGCATATACGGCGTGTCTCTGCTGCCACTTTTACTAATGGAGACAAAGAAAAATGATGCCTACTTCTCTATATCACTGAATTCAGTTGCTAAGCAACTAGTATGGGAAATCATCCGCGAAATTCAAATCCTGCAGCGAGAGGACACGTTTTGTTGAGTTTTGCTGAATAGGCGAGCTCAAGAAACTCAAGAAAAAAGAAAAAGAAAAAAAAAAGTTTGAAACACATTTGCCTTTTGCGGCCGTGACGAAAAAAAAATATAGTAATAAAATAACAGTGCCTGAGCCACAGCTAAAGCATCATTTAGAATCAGTGTAAGAAATCAAATAATACAAGACACAATGCCACTTCACACTATTTTTTACTGCAAAAAAAATGTATAATATCCCTTCTCTAAAGCCTGCCAAAGGTCGTGAAACAGCCACCCTGATATTAATCCGCAGCCCTCCGACATGTCAAACAACACTTCACAGTTTCATCCTCAGTAAACTGCAGGGAGAGAGCCTGAGCCTGTGGGCTGCTCAGCTTTTTGGACAGACACAATCAATAAGCTCTCTGACCCAGTGCCCCGCATCCCACAACAACACGGCAGCCTCACCCTCTCTCTACCTGGACTACACACCTGGTGCTGGCTTTTTGGAGCTTTTGAGGCGGATGGAGAAATGAAAAGCTTAAGTTTTGTTGTTGTGCTCTCACTTACAATCTTATTTACAATTTTTTTTTTTTTGCCATTTCCATGAGTGTAAATCAATTATTTTGCAGATTACAGTGAGGAGCGGGTGGCTCAGGCGCTCATAAAGCAGCCTAATAATGATGTGTTTGTCACTGTTATGTGATTCAGTATCTGGACTATGATCTGCAACGTAAACATTACATAACACACAGTCAGGACGCTGGGACGCTCACAGTATGGACGCGTCTGCCTGCTGTCCGTTTGGGGGTTTCTTCTCTCTCTCTCTCTCTCTCTTTCTCTCTCTCTCTTTCTTTTCTTATTTCTTTTTTTTTTCTACACAAAATATAACATTTCCCATCCTGCAGACTGAGGTTAGGGCTCCTGCTTTTTGCCCAAGGCCTCAAGAGGCAGCAGATGTAAACAAACAGACGAACCATTGTGCAGGCCTGCAACTGACCGCGATGCTTCATTTAAATGGTAATATACAGTTATGGGATGATGATAACAACGCTGGTGGACATTTATTTAAGCCTAGGCGATAACTTACGAGCTCCTAAAGCACTAAACGCCACCTCAACACGCCAACTTGTGTTTTTTTATATTTAAGCAAATAAAAAAATCCCCCTTTTGTTAAGTTTTAAAGGAGTATTTTCACGTTTCAGCCTGCAAAGAGCCTTTGTTCTGCATTATTCTAATGGAGGTTATTCTTAGCTCGCAGCTTCATCTGGGACAAAATAGTCCACCATTTTCTTCATTAGCTGCTGCTGTGCATGCAGAAAATAGCACACAGGGTGATTCCCCTTCAAAATAAAAACATAGCAGCAATATACAGGATCAGAATATAAATTTCAGAACACAAGATGATTGCATTTCATTCTAACAAATTTATTGTGTCTCAATCAGCTCGTACGGAACCACTACTGAAATTAAATTACAATCAAATTATCACATCAAAATATACCCTTATTACCTAACAACGGTTCAATGTCAGTTTATGATGATTTGTGCTCCTTTTTAGAAACGAGAATACAAAATTAAAACAAATAAGGGCAGCAACAAAAATACGAGAAAGAAATATTGAAATAAAACAAGAAAATAAAAAGGGGGGGAAAGCATCTTACACAAGTTCCTGGGGGGGAAAAATAAATTACCGTTTGGAATAATTCATATGTATTCCGAATAAAATATTAAAACAAGTCTGATGAAAAATATAAAGTAAATAACTCAGATCAGTATCTGATCTAGTGATCTATATTGCCGGCTTTACAGAGTTTTGTTTATTAAAACCTACCAAAGAACACTGCTTAGAAAGGGCAGCATTAATAGTATATCCACAGCACCCACTCAGTCACACTTGGCAACAGATTTTTTTTCTCAAATAAGTGCAGTTGAAGTCTTTTTCAAATGTCTTTATGCTCTATTTGTTGAAAAAAAAAGAGGAGAAAAATCCACTCACGGTGTCAAAGTCCATTAAATAATAATAATTAAAAAACAGGTGATCTTTGAGATCAGGCGGGGTGGTGGTGGTGGGGAGAGAGGAGGGTGGGTAGGGGGGGGGACAAGTCCTGGTCCTGGTTGTCTTTTCTCATTGATGAGGGCCTCAGACATGAAAAAAAGGAAACATCCCTAATCCTCCGTCAATGAAACCATGCAGTCCACCTCAGGAAAAAAAAATAAAATCGCTGGAAATCATGATGGAAGCTTCGTGGATGTCACTCTTGTTCATATTGTTGCTGTTTTCCCCCCTCTGTTATTGTTAGGCTTGGAGGGGAGGCGGTCCAGTCCCATTTCTAAATATACAAAATGCCTGCTCCTTTGTTTCTTCAATCAAACACAGGATAATGAGGGGGAATGTTTTTTTTCTTTTTGGAGGTGTGGGGGGGAGGGAAGAGGAGAAAAATATTCAAAAAGAAAAAAAAAACAAAAAAAAAAACAATACTTGGTTTCCTCTTGGTGTGTTTTAATGCGCCAAAATTACCTGGTGGAATGAACTTGTAGTTGTCACCCTCTGGTCGCTCGCTTCACTCGCATCTTTTAAGTAATCTACTAAAAAATGCCCCTGAAAGAAAAAAGCAGAAGGAACCTTTTAGGTTAAGACATTTCAGGGCCTGGAAGAAGGTTAACGGTGCGTTTTCTGAAGGGGGGTTTTGGGAGGAAAAAGGGGGGAAAAGGTTGATTTTTTTTCTCTTTCTGTTTGTTTTTTTTCTGGTGAAAAATAGATAACACATTTGCAGTCTCATTCATATTCCCTCACAATCACAGTATCAAAAAATTTGGCTATCTTGGCGATAGTCTGTATGTTTTTTTTTTTTTGTTATCAGTTTAATTCATATAAAATATTCTTGTGTGCTGTTTCTATGTTTCACTGAACATTCTTTTGCAGTCCATGGAGGGGGGCGGTGTTTCTGCACTCACATTGCCGACCTGAGAGTACACATCCTCCGGCGTCTGTGCCACTCCTGGGGGCGTCATCCGTTTTTCCTTCTGTCTCCTATTGCAAAACCACACTCTAACCACCTCTTTCTCCAGCTGCAAGTTGTCCGCCAGGCTGCTGATCTCCTGGGCCGAGGGTTTGGGGCATTTCAGGAAGTGGCTCTCCAAAGCCCCCTTGACGCTCACTTCGATGGACGTGCGCTTCTTTCGCTTCCTCCCCTGCGCCGCGATCTTGTCGATGCTGGTGGGGCTGCCGGTGGACGAGTCGGCCTCCTCGAGCCACTTGTTTAACAAAGGCTTGAGCTTGCACATGTTAGGACCTACGAAATCTGCAAATGGTGGTCTCCGAGAGATAGGAACGGTTCGCCGCGTACACGGGTGCCCAAAGCCAAGCCGAGTCGGCCTGCGTAAGAGGCCCAGTTTCATCCTCCCGCTGTTTGGAACTGCTTTGGCGAATGCTCCGGTTCGTCGAGGGTCGGCGTGTCGTTTCGTCCGAGTGGCGGGTCGTGGGCTGTTGATGCCGCCGTGGGTGCAGGTGGATGTGGATGCTGGTGGTGAGGTGTGGTGGGGGCTGCCGTGTCATCGGGGTGTCCCCCGCATCACCAAGCCCGGTGCACAGGGCCCTGGGCTCCGGGATCAGGCATCCAGTTCAGCAGTGACAGCCACAGGCTTGGGAGTAGATCGAGCGACTGCTGGCTTGCTTTGCTGTCCCGATATGGGAGTTATATGAGCCGCACGTCGTGTCCCAGGCCCGGCGTGAGTTTTGTGGGGGCTTAAGGTGAGGGGCCTGTGGTGCAGGCGCGGTGCGCGCGTGTGCGATCGTCTCTGCGGGAGTTTTCACGTCCTGCTGCTGCGGACCTGCCCGTCATCCGACGGGGCTCGACGACGGGCGATCCGGCTGTTCGGCTGCAGGACCGCGGGGCTGCTGCGGCCAGCTGCGGCGTGCGGAAGGGATGTCACCCACTGATGGGCATGGCTCAGCATGTGCCCCCCGTTGCTCGCTGCCATTGCGCCTTGCATAAAGTCACTCTGTACCATCTTGACTGAGGGGTCTCCCCTGTAGCCCCCCGACCCCGAGGTAACCGCAGCGCTGCCCGGCTGCATGCCACCACCTCCGGAGTCAGAGTGCACGATGGAGCCGGAAGATAAGATGCTATTGCTGGGCAGATAAGGATTGGAAGCCGCGGTGGCCATTCCGTCAGCCCTTATGAATATGTTTGTGGATAACCCCCCTCCCTTTTTTACAGTCACTTCTTTCGAGCAGGCAAATTGTATCTCATGAATTATTCAAACTTTAAAAGTATGGGTAGGTTTTTTTTTTCTTGGCAAATACCATCGACGTGCGTAAAAAACGCAAAACAAAAGAAAAAAGCTTGAAAAAACTGTGGCAGACAAGTGAATAAAATCCGCATGTATTTACAACATTCTACTTCAAACACTTGTGCAGCGGGATCGGCGAGAAAATTCCAGGTTTTCAAAAGCCCTTTGAAACCATGTGCAGTCCGTTCAGAAAGTTTTGCGCCGGGATGAAATTGTGGACATTAAAATGGAAATATACGGGGAAAGAGCGTCGTCCCAAACAAACTTTTGGTGGTCGCAGAAAACAAAAAAGCCTTGCAAATTCTCCACAATGTACAAAGTCCCGGTTTATGTCCCCTTTGGATGTGGAAAACATTAGCAGAGTGTCCTCAGTTCTTTTGTAATTCAGTCGCCGAGATTTTCTCCCTCGCTTTATTCTTTTCTCTCTCTTCTTTTATAGCACTGTAGAGCCTCTCTCTTTGTTCTGTTTTGATGTATATAAACCTGCCAAACCGCAAACTCCCGTTGAAGTACAATCCGGTATAACAGTGCACGGCGCTGCTTGCGAGCCTCTTCTCTCATTCGCTTGTTCTCTCTCTCCACCTCTCTCTCTATATCTCTCTCCCGCTCTCTCTCTCTCCCTGACAGCCCGCGTAGTCCCGCCCACCCTTCCAGCCCCGACGCACGCACGGATGTTTACCCCCGTGCGTCCCCGCTGATTGGTTACCCGGGGTGTGATTGGCAGCTCTCTGCCAGCCTTGCTCCGGGGCGCACGAGCCCTCCTTCCGGCTGTTCCGATTGGCTGATTTTTAATTGCAGTCCAAACAAAACGGGGAACACAACTTGGTAGTAAATAGTACAGAGGTATTAGCGCACAAACGGGGGTGAAGGGGTGGATAAAAGAGGTTGATAAAGTGTGACCTCTAGTGTGTGAGTCAAACCACAGTCATGGTGAACTTTTCATTTGTCCCACAAGAAGCTTCAAAATGTTATTCCCACTTTATGTTTATAGAGAAATACACCAGTTTAAAAGTATATTTTTTCATATAAACGCCTGCTATGGAGATTCAGTCAGCTCCAATAGGTGGATCAACTCTATCTGACTTTATTCAAGTAGTTTTATCTTCTGTTACTCTTCTTACAAACACATATCCAGGAGCAATGCGAGGCTCCAGACTTTTATTCAAAACCTGCACGCATTTGACATTATAAGATCTATTGCTAACAATTATAATTATCTGGTAACCTGACCTGATTGTGTAATAGAATAAGGCCTCCACACTGCCACGGTTAGGGGGTTTAATTCCCTCTGGGCCACCCATGAAAAACACAGGAAAGACTTAATGAATAAAATAATAATAAAAAGGTTCACTAAACGGTGCTTGCTTTATCTTGGCATATTAACCCACGTGGCTAGATGACGTGTGTTGTGTGTTAAAATGACAAGATTAGCATTTTTTTTTTTTACCAGCTCAAGTTAATTGTTTATGAGCATATAAAAGTTTTTAAAAAAAGGCTCATGATAGTGAACAGGAAAGCATGACGCTGCACCTCCGTGTCAGAGCGGCTACGCGCAAACACAACCGAGAGAGGACGTGTATGTCATGATTTGAGTGCAGAGAAAAAGAAAAAAAAAAGAAAGGAAGGAGGAGAAGAAGCCACTGCAGCCGTGAGCACAAGTCCTGCGCCGCGGCTCTTCAGGAGTTAACGCACAAAGGTTGCGGGGATGCTGCGCGCAGGCAACCTCACTGAGGCACAGTGAAAGAGAAAGTGGCAACCAAAACAAGGGCAAATTGAGCAGTCCTTGGGGGGGTGCAGACACACACACACACACACACACACCCCCCTACAGATATATCTCTTAAAACGCGCTCCATCCCTCTACATGACCGCACCCATGGGTGGTAATAAGCGCCAGATATATAGGTCCCACTGCACCCATTGCTTGAGCTGAGGGTGTCTGCCAGCCTGTTGAGTCCACCTGACCCGCACACGGCCTGTAGCAGGTGATTCTCTGACAGGATTAACTGTATTATGTACAAAGGTTAGAGCCCCATGTCACGCGTTAACCCCGAACACCGCCCCGTAAGCCCCTCAAATCAGAGATGGCGCAAAGATTTTTTGACGCAAAGGGGATTTAAGTGCAAATATAAGGCTTGGGGAGTAGTTGTGTACTCAATGCCAGTGTCCCCCCTTCCTCCCTCTTCTTCTTCTCATCCCAGTAGATTTCATTTGGACTGAGCTCAAAACCGAGGGAGCCTCGTGGATTTGTTTACATTGAATAGGCAGGCTAGGGGCCAGAACCATGGGGCCCTCCATTCATTAATATACAGTGAGGATTTCGCTCTAAATTGCTGCTGTTCAATCCACGCTGCACGCTTTGAAAGGGCGTCTCAGGCGGCCAGCGGAAACGTGACACCAGTGTGCAGAGAAGAGGGCTCCTCGCACACGATAACCCCTCAAAATGAAAAAATATAGACACAGAATATATGAAAGGAGCCAAAAGCTGCTCCAGAAATGCTGCCCGAAATCAACGAGCAGTTGAAAAAACAACAACACTCCTCTCTGATATATGATGTGTTTATTATTTATTTGCTTATTATAAAAAGGTCCCCAAGTTCCCTGCTGGGGGAGTTCATTTATTTTGTATGCATGCAAAAAAAAAAAAAAAAAAAAAGAGGAAGAAAGAAAGAAAGAAAGAAAGGGGGGAGAGGAAAAAAAATCATCCCCAAGTATAACAAGAGACGAACAGTTAGTGCTGATTTTCATTTGCATAAATTTTCATATATTTTAGTGAAAATAATAGCGGGAGCCGAGGAGTGCTCCTGCTCAGTTGAGGCAGAGGAAAGAAAATCTTAGGGAGCACCGAGTCGTAGGAAAGGGAGATAACCATTTACAGGCTCCGTGTGAACAATGTGAAGCTATTTCCCTTTTCTTGGACACAAGGTAAGTCAACAATCATCTATGCGGATTTCTTTTTACGCTTGAGGAATGTTAGTTTATCGCCTTCTCGCGGCGCATTGCTCCACTGTACCATGCAATATGCTTCTCCATGGACTGCTCGCTGCCTTTAAAACGAGATCTAAGCTCACTTCTGCGCCGAATGTGCACTCATATTCTCCGTAACTTATATTTAAAACCGAATAGCAAATGTGTGTCCGTTTCCCTTAACCCCCCCTTTGAATGCGTAAAAATCAATACGCGCGCCGCTGTTTGCTTTTGCGCCACAGCCTTTTTTTTTTTTGGTGCTTTTTATATAAATAGCGGGCAGATGGATAAGCTGTGCTGTTTTGTAGTGAATGTCCACCGGAGAAAAGTGCAATCAATCACATTTTAAGCAGGGAGAGAGAGAGAGAGAGAGGGAGAGAGAGAGGGAGAGAGGGGGAGTGTGTGTGAGAGAGAGACCCTCGGTTGAATCCTCCAGAGGGACCGCGTAGGCAAGTGCAATATGAAATCGTTTAATAGAAATCGATCTCGCCGCTGCAAAGTTTGTTTAAAGTTTTACACACAGCAGCTTGTCGACCGCAGCTCGGTCCTATAAACTGCACCCGTCAGGACAGACAGACAGACAGACAGACAGGCAGACAGGCTGACAGACAGACAGACGGAGCTTATAAATAGCCCGTGATTGTAATGAATGCTGGTTTGGTTTTTTTGGCGTTCAAGGAGCGAATGAAGGAGGAAGAAAACTAAAAAACGACAGATTTATTTAAAAAAAAAAGAGAGAGAGAGAGAGAGAGAGATCTGGTCCCAGAGGCAGTTCTTTTACAGATTATTTATGTCACAACTTCCAAACTCCATCAGGATTTTATCACACATTAACCAGAACGCGTGGAGAAGTCGTTTGGGTTTTTTTTTTTTGCGATACTTTTGCTTTTAGAGGGTTATTATTATTTTTTCTTCCTCCTTCTTTTCTCACGGGTTAACTCCTTTTTCCTTCATTGATGGGGAGCACATTTCTGAGCCCAGCACTTGGTAGCCATGGTGAGCCCCATAAAAGGGGGAAACACTAGTCG